TCCAGGGTTTCCAACAGCATTCCCGTGGCCCTGAGCCTGTTGGTCAATCATACGCTCCATCAAGTCAGCCATTCGCTGGATGGCTGTAGCTACTTGGTCTGGCTCTTGTTCATGTTCCATTTCAGGGCCTCGTCCTCGCCCTCTACCTCCACCTCGAGTACCGGAGGCCATCTAGTGTACAAGTCTATAATTCGGAACAATACGTATGCTTATTTTCCAGACCATGAGCAAAAGAAGAGACACAAAACTTACGCACAAAAGACACACAAAAGATAAGTTCAAAATTTTATTCAAATATATACACATATTTACAAAGTCACACCAAAAGATTTACACATTACCCGACCTCCAGTCGGTACAAAACCCAATATACACGAGCACTCCGGCTCCAAAATGTAGTCAATCACCGGGTAACGAAAGAAACCAGGCATACTGGTTATAACAAAATAAACATGGCAGATATAACAAAACAAACATATCAGATAGTCAAAAGGAAATCCCATCAACGGCCCTACGCGCCTCCCTTACGGAACCTACCTAATCCACTAGCACCGCCCCGGCGGCCCTAGGGTGCAAACCTAAAGAATAGGTCCAAATAGTTAACTTCAATATCAAGTAAGAACCAAATCGATTCACACTGGGACTGGCCATCTCCAAGTGCAATCAACTCAATCCCCACTTTGCCTTATGGAAACATTACAAAAGTCAATATCAAAATTTGGCATTCAATATTTACCTTAATAGCCAAGTATCCCACAGTCCGGCATCCTAAACTTCAAGCCTAGGATACACTACAGAGATCTGAAGCCTAAGCTCTGATACCAACTGTGACGACCCCACTTCTCCCAAGGGCGAATCCAAGGGTATCGGCGGGCCGCCTGCCTAGCTCGCACCAGGACTCAAAACTTAAAGCAATCAAGCGAGATAGATCGAAAGAGCACTATATACAATATATACAATCCCAAAAGTTATATTTACATCTTCAAAAGTCTCGAGTCAAACCACTCTAATATACTACAACCACAACCAGCAGAAGATAGACCCTAAGAAGGGTCCTTATACAAACCACCAAAACAAAAACAACCATCCTAACTGTTCAACTATTACAAACAAACTTAACTACACTAGTGTAAGTGCCAAAATCCCCGCGTCGGCCCCTGCTAAGGAAAACAAAATGAATGGGGTAAGCTAAATGCTTAGTAAGTAAACAGGGGCGAAAGCATAAATTCACGTAGCAACAATTACACAATAAGAGTAAAGCAAAAGCAGAAAAGAACAACATCATATAATAAGGATACGGGTGGCTCCAAAGCCAATTCATGTGCCATGTATGATCTCCTGCCGACACTCCGTCGACCGCAAATAATAGTCCGTAAAACTTCACTTATACACCCACCGACACCTTATCACCCTCACTGGCCAGTCACCTCACAAACTTGCCTGGGCGAACGAAATCACAAACTTGAGCTTGAGTCACAAGCTCGGGTCACAAACTTGGTCACCTTCTCGGTGAACCGGATTCACAAAATTGGTTCATAACATGAACCTACAAACTTGGTGACCTCAGACCAAGTTGGACTGACTTCGACCAAGCCCTAACCGGCTCGAATAGTCCAGACAGGTCTTAGATCGGGCCCACGAACTCACAAACTTCACAAAATTCACAAACTTTACTCGAAAGTCGCCCCGAGCCACAAGTTCAAGGGTTTTGGTTCCAAAAGGTTCATATACATATGCCAAGTACAATTATACATTTAAATTAGGGTTTAGGTCGAGTGCGATAAAGTACACCCTCGCCTAAGTACCCTTTTCACATATCTCAAACACATAGCAAAGAAAACACATCAAACCGGCCTGAATACTTACTCAAAATACCGAAAGTAGTACGAAAGCAAAATCGCTTCGCGCGTTCGCTAGTAGTGGCCCCCACCGGCTCCGCCTAGCTCACCGCTGTCTGAAATAGAAGATTTTATCACAAACGGCCACTAACATGCCCAAAACAAGCAAAACGGCAAAACGACACGCGCGCACGTAAATATGACGGACGGAAACGGAAACGGCAGATTTGATACTCATTTCTAGTTTACCCATAAGTTGAGCTACGAATATCGGATTAAGGCGTATGAGATGCCAAATCGAAGCTTAAAGAATGAAAAACAACTGTTATGAAGACATCCAGAACTGAAACTGGAGGCTTCAGTCCCAAATGAACCAAACACAATCACTTACGAAATCTGGCCAATGCACAAATGGTCAGTTTTGAGTGTGAACTGTTTTCTATGCTACACATGGTCAAAAGAGCTGAAAATTGGCAGTTAGATAGTTCATTCCAAATGGAACAACTTTCATGAAGGTCGGCAATCCAAATTCGGAACGGAAATTGGTCATCAGGACCAAAACAGATCTGACCAGAAAATGGTCATCTTCACGGCCAGGCCTTATTTGCTCGGCTATATCTCAGGTTATATAAATCCGATTCATGAAATTCCAAGGGCGTTGGAAAGCTCTGATATAAGGCTATAAGTTTGGTGTTTTGGTCGCAAGCCCAAACAGCTTGTAACCCAGTCAAATGTGAAGCCAAAGTTCCAGTCATAAACTGTCCAAAAACGTAACAGAATTTGACGGTCAAAACAGGTCTGAGTATTTCGTTTATAGCTCAGGATATACTAATCCGTTTAACCTGAAAATTTACAGGGATATCCAGGACTTAAGGGGCTACAATGTTGAAGAAGGAAACTTTGTCCAATTTTGAATGTAAAAAGGTCAAAAATGCAAGACACTATACCAGAATTGCAAAACAGGATCACAAACCGTATTTGACCTTAATATGCGGTAATGGCACCAAATTCACTACGGTTATCGGATGGGGGTGTAAGACCCACCGTTTCGAAGCTATGGAACAGGGCTACAACAATGTAGAAGGTCACTCAGTCCAAATCCTAGCACAACTAGGTCAAATATGCAAAATACGAACCCAGAATTACCAAAACAGGTTTACAAATCACACAAAACTGTAATCGGTATAACTCAGTCTATACAAGTCCAAATGCCGAAATTCCAAATGCATATGATAGCTAAGACATCTAGATACATTTCATCAGAAGACACCAACTTCAAAATCCAAACCAATTCCAGTCAAAACAAATGATTACAAGCGCAGTTTTCACATTCTGAGCAACCCTGGACAGCAACAGTAAAAATGACATAACTCACTCTACACAAATCCAAATGACCTGAAATTTTGCAGGCACTTCAAAATCATCAATACCTACAACTTTCATGTTTTAAGCCAAGGCCAATGCGGCCTCTAACATGGTGCAATAAATTCGGGCAGAATGTAGCTTCATGAACCCTAACTTTCCAAAATTTATTCCAAATCCAAAATTGGTTGCAAATATCAATCATTTCCATCCACTAGAGTCATAACCCCTCATTATCAATCATCATAAACAACCACAACACCATAATCCAATTAAACCAGAAAAATCATCAAAAAAATCAAAACTTCACCAAATCACTTCAAACCAAGATAAAACCAGAAATTTCAGCACTTTAATCACTACTAATCATATCTTAAGCATCAATAGGTGTAGGTGGAAGTTTAAGCTTTACTTACCAAGTAAACAAGAGAGGGGAAGATGTTGGACACCTTAGCTCTTCCAAAAACTTCACTAAAACACCCACTAGCACCAAATGGAGGAATTTGATGGAGTTGAAACTAGCTTAAGCACTTGAGTTGGATGATTTGAGCTTGTTGGAAGCTAAAATGGTGAAGAACTCTCTTCCTTTCTTCCTTAAGGTTGGTCGGCCAAAGAAGAGAAAGAAATGGTGATTTTGTGGTAAATTTTAAGATATTTAACCATGGGTCAAAAGGTCAAAACAAAAGAATAAAAATCATAAAGTCCACCCAATGATCTTGTGACACATGGCATCTCATTAAATGCAATTCAATCCTTTGGTCACCTCTCACATCAATCACCTCACACTCCTTTACTTATCCATTAACACCCGATAAATTTTTCACAGTATCCGGAACTTAACTTAATTGGCCGAATTTTTCCGAACTTTTCGCACTAGTGGGTCCCACGTCCAATATACGTTCTTATTTTCTCAAAAGCTAACCGATACTTGAAAATCATCTATAACCCATATTTACTCATGAAAATTATCCTGGAGATTTTTCTAATAAAGAAAATGCGGAAAAAGGCGGGCGATAAATAACTCCACTTAAACTTTCTAATATTGCAACACTAGAGGTTTGCTAATCATTCAAACTTACTAAACCTTTGTAATTAAAACAAATCCTATATTTACTTACGTCAAGGCACACACGAGAATACCGAATATAAATTATAGCTTGAACCTTATAATAATAATACGTAAATTAGGATTTCCAAACTTAACCGAATTAGGGTTTCCTTCCTAGCCATTAAACCCGATTTTTTTTTTGTCATACCGAATATCAACTAACCCTAATATCGACTTACGATCGGACTGGGGCCTCACACTCAAACCCTAGGAGTTTTGCATCTAAAGCAGTGAGCAAGATGTGTCTACGAGATAAAGTGTCAGCCACTACATTAGACTTACCTGTCTTATACTTGATGACGTATGGGAATGACTCGATGAAGGCTACCCATCGGGCATGCCTTTTGCTTAATTTTTGTTGTCCCTTGAGGTGCTTGAGGGACTCATGGTCATTTTGGATGACAAATTCCCTGGCGCGGAGGTAGTGTTGCCAGGTCTCTAAGGCACGTACAAGGGCGAGCAACTCCTTGTTATATATAGAGTAGTTGAGAGCCGCGCCACTTAGCTTCTCACTGAAATAGGCAATTGGCTTGCCACCTTGCATTAGTACGGCTCCTACTCCAACACCTGATGCATCACATTCCACTTCAAAAGTAAGATCAAAGTTAGGTATTGCAAGAAGTGGTGCATGTGTGAGTTTGTGTTTTAATAATTGGAAGGCCTTATCTTCTGTTTCCCCCCAAAAGAACTTCTCATGTTTTTTTCATGACCGTGGTAAGAGGTGCAGCAATTGTGCTAAAATCCTTCACGAAGCGGCGGTAGAAGCTTGCTAGCCCATGGAAGCTGCGCACTTCACTTACAGAGGTAGGCATTGGCCACTCTTGGATGGCTTTGACCTTTTCTGCATCCACATGAATGCCCTGCACACTTACCACATGTCCTAGAAACACCACACGGTCAGTGCAAAATGTGCACTTCTTAAGGTTGGCGTACAGCCTTTCCTTTCGAAGTACATCAAAAACAACTTTGAGGTGCTCAAGGTGCTCCTCTAAGCTCCTGCTATAGATCAAGATATCGTCAAAGTAAACCACTACAAATTTCCCAAGAAAAGGTCTCAAAACATGGTTCATCAGACGCATAAAAGTACTAGGGGCATTAGTTAAGCCAAAAGGCATCACTAGCCACTCGTATAGCCCATGTTTAGTTTTGAAAGCAGTTTTCCACTCATCACCTTCTTTCATTCTTATTTGGTGGTAACCACTTTTCAGATCAATTTTAGTAAAGATAATGGCACCATGCAGTTCATCTAACATATCATCTAACCTAGGAATAGGGTGACGATACTTTACCGTGATCGCGTTGACTGCTCTACAGTCAGTGCACATTCTCCAAGTTCCATCCTTCTTAGGCACGAGAATCACAGGTACAGCACACGGGCTTAGACTTTCTCGAGCCCAACCTTTCCTTAGTAACTCCTCCACTTGCCTTTGCAACTCCTTAGTTTCCTCAGGGCCCATGCGATAGGCCAGTTTGTTAGGTAATGGGGCTCCAGGAATGAGGTCAATCTGGTGCTCGATTCCCCTTAAGGGTGGTAGTCCATCGGGCACATCCTCAGGAAAAATGTCCTCAAATTCCTATAAAAGAGACAAGATACAAGGAGGTAAAGAGTCAGTAGGTATGGATGAGATGACCAACTCTTCTTTGCACACAAGTACAAGTAAGAGTTGGTTAGAAGACAAAGCTCACTTTACATCTTTGGCTTTTGCTAGCAAGCTTAGTTTTCCCTTAATTTCTCCTCACTTGTAGCCTTTTTCTTCCCTACGGGTTCGGCCACACTCTCAATTTTTTTCTCCTCACTTTTTTCTTGCTTTTTTTTCTCAAGTTCTAGCTCATACTCCTTTTGGAGTTTCATTTGATCTTCATGCACTTGCTTTGGTGTGAGGGGTACAAGAGTCACTTTTCGATTACAATGAGTAAAGACGTATTTGTTGGCTTTCCCTTTGAACTCCACATCTCGGTCGTATTGCCAAGGTCGCCCAAGAATGAGATGGCTTGCTTGCATTGGCACTACGTCGCAAGTGACTTCATCTTCATACTTGCCAATTCGAAATGGCACTTTCACTTGTCGAAATACACGGACCTCCCCTTCATTGTTCAACCATTGAAGGCGATAAGGTCTAGGATGTCTGATGACTGGGAGCCCTAGCTTCTCTACCATGAGTAGACTAGCTATATTGGCACAACTCCCACTATCAATAACAACACTACAAACCTTATCCTTGATATGACATCTCGTGTAGAAAAGGTTATCCCGTTGTATCTCGATTTCCTCTTCCTTGGCGCGGGTGGTGAGGACCTTTCGAACCACCAAGCATCCAATCTCCTCATGCGTGGGTATCTCCTCACTTGAATCATCCCCTTCACCCTCTAGAGGTGGCATCCCTTCGTATTCCTCCTCTTCATCGGACACAATCTCGCCATTTGGCAATAGTAGCATAGCCCTTTGGTTGGCACATTGAGATGCAATATGACCATAGCCTTGACACTTAAAGCACTTAGTGTCTCGGCCACGCGGTTTAGAAGCTCCATTATTACTCTTAAATTCAGGTTTGGCTGTTGCCTTGGGTGGAAAGGCATTCGGCCTTGGTGGTTGAGACGGAGCCGTGGCCTTCTCCTCCCTCTTTGGTTGAGGGGTACGCCAATTTCCAGCTTGGTACGTGGTGTTAGGCCGTGTACTTCCCCTCCTCTTGAGGCGTCGTTCAACTGTAACCGCCTTCTCCAACATTCCATTCATGTCTAGGTAGTGTTGGAGTTCCACTACTTCGGCAATCTCGGGCCTCAAACCATGCAAAAATCGAGCCATAGTGGCTTCTCCATCCTCACGCAAGTCTGCCTTCATAATGGCCATCTCCATCTCTTTATAATAATCCTCAACTGACAAGGAACCTTGGGTGAGAGATTGTAACCGTCGGTGTAAGTCACGGCTATAGTAGCTCGGCACGAACCTTTTCCTCATGAGACTCCTCATCTCGTCCCAAGTCTCCACGGCCCTTTCACGATTTCTTCTTCGGCTTAGTCGTAATTGGTCCCACCAAATGGAGGCGTAGTCAGTGAACTCCAGGGCTGCAAGTTTTACTTTTTGTTCCTCCGAGTATGTGTGGCACTCATAGACCAATTCGATTTTCCGTTCCCATTCCAAGTAGGCTTCGGGATCGGACTTGCCTTGGAAGGAAGGAATTTTGAGTTTGACCCCCTTAATGGTGTCGTCTCCTCGCCTTTGTGTACGGTGATCAGTTTGGTACCTCCCCTCAAACGGATCCTCTTCATCATTGGAGTACACCGATTCCTTGCCTTTACTCGAGCTATGTAGATTCTTCGAGTTTTCCAACTGATCAATCCGGTCATGCAATGGTTCAATGGAGGTTTTAAGCAATTGCTTGAACTCCCCCATCATGGCATCTAGGCGAAGTTGAAGGTCCATTGCTTGGTCACCAACTCCACTAGACATGCTTAGGTACACCTATAAAAGAAAACAAAACGACTTCTTTTTTTTTTTTTTTTACAATGTAGAGGTCACTCACACTCGTGCTTCACTCAAGTGTATCACTCTCTAAGAATCTCACCAACAATTCCTTGGCTTGCTAGTTGCTCGGGTTGAACAACCTAGGCGTCACTGCAAGGTACATTCTTGGCTAATCAACAAGTAACACAAGAAGGTAGCTATGAATGGAGGTGAATGAGGATCTAGATGCAATCTAAGACTCAGAATAGGACTAACAATAACTAAGACTCGGAAGAGAAAGCAAAACAAATGAACTCAAAGCTGAAATATTGAAAATCCTAGAAAACACTACCCATGACCCAAATTTCTGGAATTTTGTGAGTTGCTGGTTCGTGGTCCGTTGGTCAGTGTTTGGTGCTGGTTTGAGGTAGAAGTCACCCCTCAAATTGCAACCCAATCGGCTCACCAAGTGGTGCTCAACCGGATCAAAATTGTGGGCTGAAGAGGGCAGATCAAGGAGTTTTAGGAAGGTTTGGATTTGGTTTGTTGATTTTCTTGGCTGCTATCAATTCCAACGAAATTAGGATGAGTTGGAGTCAAGGTGGGACTTGGTGCACAATTAGGAAACTAGAGCCAATATCTTTCTTTCCTTTTTTTTTGTTTTTTTTTGTTTTTTTTTCTGGCTCAAAGATTCTTTCAATCACGAAATTCCAGTCCCAAAAGTCGGATCTCCAATCAAAGCTTGCCAAGGCAAATAGATTCGACAACCACCCAAGAAGACAAATTCCAGAAATATGTTTCAAGAACATGGTATGCGACACCTCCTTTTTTTTTTTTTTTGACTTTTGCTGGGCAGTTTTGGCAACCCAAACGACGCAACACTCCACAAGAATTATGCCACAATCTGGACAGAAACTAGGGGCAACTAGTGACTGAAATTTTCTGGACAGATTGCACAAAACACGAACACACAATATTCAAGGGACAAACGCAAAACAGGTTCGGCAACCACCAAGAAATAAATTCCAGCAATGACCCAAGAAAGCAACAAGGTACGCCAGACAGGTTTTTTTTTATTTATTTATTTCTGCTGGGTTGTTTACACGACCCACAGACGCAGGACTCCAAACAGAATTAGACCAAGAACTACACAAAAACTAGCAACAGGTAATGACGGACAAAACTGGACAGATTACTATGACGACAAACCCAACTCAAGATGCGACAAGGATGGAAACCCTAGCCGCTGCTCTTGTTGTCTTCTTTTGTTTTATGGACAAGATACAGATGACCAACAATGATAATTCTGGACAGAAACAAGACCGGCAGGCAACAACGAAGACAAACAAAACAGTTTTGGATTTGACAGGAAGGACAACAACGACTCACCAAAACCCTAATACGTAGCTACGACTATGGAAGATAAAAGACAGATTCAAAGACAATAAAAGGGATATACGTGATACCTCTATCCTTGCTCTGATTACCAGATGATGTGAGACGCGGAAGCAAAGATTGGATCGTAGAGTACACGTTGCGAATTGACGGGGTTGAATCCAACTTGGACCACTCAAGAACGAATTCAACGGTGGAGGACGCCACAATCAAGTGTGATCGCTTGATTGATAAGTCAATAAACAACCTAGGAGCCACGCTAGGATGTTCAACTTAGCTTTCACAAGCTAAAAGAATTTGCCTTAATGCAAGACGAAATTCTGAAGGTTTATTAATAATATCGCAAAAACTCTATGTAAAACATGACTTAAGGCTATTTATAGCCTTGACTAAACCCTAATAAAGCTTGGAAAATACAAAAGAAATTCGGCCAGCACACATCCTTCATTTGGCCGAATATTAGCCCAACAACCTATGGCCCGTAAGCCGGGGCGCGTCGCCCCCTAGACCCCCGACTCGCTGACCGGGCAGCGAGACCCCCGTACAGCTCAGCGTAAGCAATACTTTAGTAGCCTTGCCAGGACCTTCAAACTCAATCCCTTCGATGGGCGGTTTCTCTTGGGCTTGGGCGGCATGAACCAGGGCTTGAAGCGACTCATTGAATCTCTTGGATCGTGCTCGTGTCATTGGCCCTTGGGGCACCTTTACAGGGTCTACTTGAACACCATGGCTCTCGTCCGCATCATATTGCCTTGCCTAAATTTCAAATTTTTGATGCTCAAATGACTGTGAAATTGATGTATATATGTTATATATTGTGTGTAGAAAGTTTCTACCAAAAATCATTTGAATTGGTTGAGCAAAACTTGAATTTTTGAAATGTGAAGAAACCTGAAAATGAGTTTAGACTGTCCAAACAGTACCACTTTGATCGAATAGAACTCTTTGTACAAAAGTCAAAATCGAGTGCTGTTTACGGAATTTGAAACTAGACATTTGTAGCTTTCCAATGATATAAAATTCACCTTCTAGTTCGAAATGAGTAAACCTTACTGATTCGGCAAAGTTTGCTGTCCTGTTCTGATGATCTATCCGAGAAAAAATTAGAAGCTGTATCTTGTGGCTCTATTTTCTCTCACTTGTGAACTGATTTTGAAAATGACTTGTTCTAATGAAGTGTAGATTTCGGAACCTAGTTTCCAACGCCACTAACCATTCTTTATTTGAGATTGTATAGAGTGAGTTATGGCCTGATTTTGAAAGCACAATAAAGCTGGAAATCTGGAAATCTTTCTCTTCTTGCTGGCCGAATGGTCAAACTTGTTTTGGAATGTTTTGTTTCGGAAACTTTGATGTAAATTACCTCTAAATTGCTCATTGGATGTTTATGGAACCTTAGTTTCAACATTTGAGCTAATTGACGTTGATTGTGTGGGACAAACGTTTGAAAAGAAAAGAGAACCATAGACGACAGATTTGCTTTGAAATTTTCCCGAATTTTGACTATTTTGTTAACTGTCTTCTCACGTGATTTTTTAGATGAAATTTGGTAGAGATATAGTTCACATATTGAAGATTTAGTGTACCAAATTTGGTATATTTTCAATGCCATTTTTATGGATAAATGATACTTCAAAGATAGCTTTTCAAATCTGGAAAATGACTGAACAGTTTGCAAAATGCGACCAACTTTGAATTGATGTATCTTGATAGTCAAAACTCTGAATTTAGTTCCAATTATTGTGTTTAAAACCTTGATTGAAATTCTTATTGTGTTACAAATTTCAGTGGCTAGTTCACTTTCTGTGAATTTTGCCGAATTTCCAAAGATTGCCGAAAAACATGACCAAAACTGCCCTGTTTGTTCAAATCAGCCACTTTGAGCTGAAATTTGAATGTCTTCTGTTTAGAATTTTGGAAAAATATCTTCTAGGAACTTTTAGTAGTTTGGATCTAGCTTCCAATAGTACAAATTTTTCCATTTTTGGACTTACGAAACTTGACATATGATTTTTCAAAGTAATGTCACTCTAAACTGGAAAATTTCTGTTTTTAACCAAATTACTCCTTTAAGAACTTCCAACCTCTTACTTTGATTTTTCCACTTCCTTGACTTCAAATGTATCCCTATTGAACTTCTCTTGCTAAGGTATCTCTCCTTTTCTCAAAGTTTTACACTTTTAACAAGTTACCTCAATTGAAGAGGTCAAGACTTGTACTTGGCTTTTAGCCACCATTTTCGAATTTTCCAAGTGAAGCTTACTTGCTAGACTTGTCCATATGTTGGCCTTGATTTTGTACTAGAGTTGGCAATCATACACGCATTTTAAAAGAATGATTTGAAAGGTTTCTTGTGAACTTAATTAGTAATACTCGGAATGCTTTGGCCAAGTTTCCAAGTAAAAATGTGTTCATCTTCCTTATTCGAAAGCCAAGGTTTCTATCGTCATAGTCTCCTAAGTTTACACCCTCGATTTAATCGTTCAAAGTGAATGTTAAGTGAATCTTTTACTAAAAGAAAACTTGAGAATTTTACTCGATTTACATTTACAACTTAAAGTGGTAGTCAGAGAGTTAATGAGCCGTTAGTGGCGGTTTTACTAGACTTTACCTAAATGAGTTTGAAAAATGAGAAAAGTTCACTTATACTTGAAACTTGGGCGTTCAACTAGGGAATTTTGACAAGAAACTAATCCTCCACCTTCCTCAGTTTTTGTGCCAAAACTTAGAGATCTGTTTAATCTTCCACTTGGAGAATCTTGGACATGATTGACTCGGATTAATGTATTCTTAGATATTTTCAAATGCTACCTTTATGGATTAAGTTATTAAGTGATATTTGTATTCGATTTGAACGCATTATCTTTTAAGTAAGAGTAGCGGGAATACTACTAGGCCTTGGTTGAATACCTAGATGAATTGTACTTGTACATATCTCAGGTGATCAAGAGGATCCCGAGGAACTCATTTGATCTTGCCTCACTCTTGTTTTACACTCTTGATTTCGGTGAGTGTTCCTTATAGGTGTACGTGACTTTAACAGTTTTACTACATGTTTTGTGACGCCCCGAAAAAAATGAGTTTGAGAACCCGGAAATTTTCTAATTTTCTAGGGTTTATTTTTTTTAACGCCTGCCTTTTCTACATTTTCTTGATTAGAAAAATTTCCCAGATAAAGTTTATGAGCAAAAATAGTTTTAAAATGATTTTTCTAGTATCGGTTAGTTTTTGAGAAATTAAAAGCGTATTTTGGACGTGGGACCCGCTAGTGCGGTAAATGCATTATATTTTTGACAACTTGTTGGAATTTTGTATTAAGTGATATTATTTTACAAGGTGCTAAGAGATAATTAGAGGTTACTTAATCTTGGAGAGACAAAAGGATAAGATTAAAATCCTAGAGGACCATTTGTCACCTAACTATTGGACCTTGACTTTGACTTGGACTTGTCTTAACCTTTACTAAACCAAATTTTGACCCAATTTCTTCCATTTTTATTGTCTTGGCCAAAATTTTTGGTGAGGAAAGAACAAGAGAGAGTTTCTTCAACTTCAACTTCAATTCTTGCTCAAATCTTGAGTTCCAACCGATTAAATTGCAAATCACTCCA